TTTTCTCTTGGTTCCCTCCCATGTTTAACTTTATGTTTATTCAATGTCATGTGGTTTTATGAATTGTTTATAGCATTTATCAGGCCAACATGGACGACTTCCTTTTAATTTTAAAATTTAATGTTGTTTTGAATGTACTAACTCCAAATATTGTTTATTTGGATCAAAGTATTTACAAAATGATTCATCGCATGAAATTCGGAACCAACTAAGTATGAACAATAGTTGTGAAGAAACATTAGGGGAGGTTATATTACAATGTCCAGTATGAAATGGAGGTATGCATATGAAGTTCTATGTGATAACCTAGACTTAAAGGCAAATTCTATAGAGTGGTAGTTAGACCAACTATGTTGAATAGTGCGGAGTATTAAGCGGTTAAGAACTCTCACATCCAAAAGATGATGAGGATGTTGTATTGGGTCCATACTGGAAGAGATAAAATTAAAAATGGGGATAGCTAAGACAAGTCGCAAGAAGTAACCTTGAGATGTTCTAGCATGTGATGAGGAGATGCACATATGTCTAGTATGGAGGTGTGAGAGATTGGTATGGATGGATTTAGGAGAGCGAGAGGTAGACTAATGAAGTATTGGGGAGAGGTCATTAGATAGGATATAATTAAAAATGGGGATACTAGAAGAGATATAATTAAAAATGGGGATAGCTAAGACAAGTCGCAAAAAGTAAGGTTGAGATGGTTCGAGCATGTGATAAGGAGATGCACGTATGCCCAGTGTGTAAGTGTGAGAGATTGGTATGGATGGATTTAGGAGAGGGAGAGGTAGACCAATGAAGTATAGAGGAGAGGTGATTAGATAGGATATGTCATAATGTAACTTATTCATGACATGACCTTAGATAGGAAGATGTGGAGGACATGACCTTAGACAGGAAGATGTGGAGGACACGAATTAGGGTAAAAGGCTACTAGGTAGGAGTGTGTCCATACTGGTAGGTAGGTGTGCTACTAGTAGTCGTAGGCCTACTCTTGTAGTTACTTGTTCTTCGATTTCTGCGATTATTTATTATTTAGTGTAGTTTCTTTTTAGTATTATTTTGTTGTAGTACTATTATGTTACTATCTATTGTCTATTGTACTTCCATTATGTCTTCTCCTAGACTTTTTTTGCCTTGTGCCGGAGTTCTATCAAAAACCACCTCTCTGCCTCACATCTGAGGTACACTCTAGACCCAACAATGTGGGACTACACTCTGTATGATGTTGTTGTCGTATGTCATACCATTATGTACGTAGGTATGTTATGAAGCACTCAATTAGTAAGTCTTGTCATCTTATAGAAATTATATTGCTTCTTCCAAGAAGCTAGTTTTCTTCACTCATTTTCTGACAAACATTTTGCTAATTAGTGGATGCTCTCAACTTTTCGCCCAAAGGGTACTTCAAGATATGTTGTGGTAAAGTTTCTAAATTTGCATCCCAGAGTACTTTTAAGAGATTCAGTGTAAGCTGAATGCATTTACTTAAAATAGATGATAACAGATGAACGTTTGCTACAACATTAATTATCACATTATTTCATTAGGGTTTTGATATCTACTCAGACATGAAAGAGGTTTTTCACCCAGGAAGGTTCATAGAGCTGTTTTATCTTGACATCATGAGGCTCACTGCTTTGTTGACTCCCCAATTTTTCAACCATGGGTTATGATGTGGTTAAATAACTCTGATGGTAGCGTACCTTAAGCTAGAGGTCTCTTAAATCCTATGTTGTACCACTGTCTCCATTTTTTGGGTTTTAGGCTTAAGGTTTCCAATTTTTTGGACTTTCAGAATTAGGTATACGCACGATATTAATTGCCTTATTCTACTATGAGTGATGATGTGATTTATGTATGATGGTGACTTACAGTTTGTTTGAGGCCATTATTGACAACAATTTGTCCATTTATTCTTGAAGTAAAAGTTATGAGGTCAAAAGAATATCACTGGTATCAGTGTTTATTTAGGCCTCTTAGGTCTCTAAAACGTACTAGTGTCACACTTTTTTTTGCGATAAGATCTTCATTTTAGCATGCACACATGTCCTCTATGATGCTGGGAGTCTGGCAAGCAAATGCATTTTTATATTGCTTAAACTATTCCCAATTTTTCCTTAGGATCTTTGAAGTTGGTTCTGATGTGAGAACGTTTTCGACCCAAATGCCATACAGCTGTTGTATCTGGGGGTAATATGAAGGGTTTGACTTTGTTGATCGTCTCACTCTTTGAGCATGAGTTATGATGTGTTGAGGTTCTTCAATGGTAGCGTTCATAAGGCCAAGATCTCTCAAACTTTGTTTGTGTCAATGTCTCGTTGTTAGGATTTCAGACATATGATCAATGTTATGTGAATTCTCCCATGTCATTGTTGATCGGTGTTGACATGACAACATTGGCATGCCAGTGGAATTGTTGTTGTCTCTGTCCAGGTTACGATAGGGAGTAATTTTTGTTCTCCATTTCCTGTAACAGAATTGGGCTTTTTAGGCCCCTTTTCTATTACATATTCCTACAACTCTTTATTGGTCTTCTTCTTTTTGTTTTTGTTTGTACTAATATATATGTGTTAATGTAGAACAAACTAGATAATATTGTAGACATTTCAATCCTTGTAAATAAAAATAGATACTTAACTAACAAAAAATTATATTTGTTTTGACTCTCAAAAATTATATTATTTTGACTCTCAATGGCCTTCCTATAATTGGGATCCTAGATTTTATGTGATTTATGAATCTGACACCTAGATCCAGTGTCGGATACTGGTAGTGTAACATAATAACTGGTGACTGCTAAGTGAATAGCTTCCTTTCTCTTTCCCAGGATTCAAGTTGTGCCTTTTCATGTGCAACGGCCATTCAGATAATTAGATCCTTCTTCTGAGGATATGCAATTAGCCCTCTGATTACTTGGAAACCTAACTAATTGGCTGCTTGGAAAATAACACGGTCAATATAGTCAGTCAATTAGTTAGTTACAGATCCTATTTGATACATCTCTAGATTGCTAGAAGTAGAATCTTTCTTCTTGAGGCTAACAATTAGATTACTCATTCTTGAAGGATGACACAGCCACAGATGATGCTTCGGTGGAACAGAATCTGCTCGACAATTTGCTGGAAACTGTGATTGGTGTAGATGCTGCTGCATCGACAGCACATGCATTTCTGGAGGCAAATAGTGGTGTAGAAGTTTGTCAAAGGTTGTTGACGAAGTGGAAGCGGTGAGTTCAACTTCTGTTTCTCCAAATGTCTACAATTTTGTGTTTTGTTTTAATTTTTAGCTGAGTGCCTTTTGCTTTGATAGATTGAGGCCATCAACACAAAAGGTTATTGCTCTGGTTGCTGAGGTCAATACTCTGCAGAAAGACAAGGAACATTTGAGGACAAACCTCCATAAAGCAGAAGACGAGGTGAGTAGATTTAAAGAGAAAGAAAGTGTTTGATCTCCTGTCTGGCCTTGTAAACTAAGAAAAGATGGGTAACTTTGTGATTTTAGGTGAACGTATTGTTTGATCAAAACAATGTTTTGGATGAGGCCAATAAAAGGCTGATAAGGCTGTACCAGAAAGAGAAACACACACCTGGTTCTGGTGGAAAACCTTCTTCCGGCAAGGTAAGCTTATACGAGTTTCTTTTAGTCTGGTCTTTTGTTTCCTCTCTGTATTACGCCCATAGCTTAAGTTTTGTTTAACCTTTAACTAGTGCTCGCAGGGCAACAAAAGGAAATCAAGCCCCAAGATAAGCAGTCCAGTGGAGGGAAAACTTGATTTCAGCGAGGTTGATTCTTCGAGGCAGCCTTTATCACCCTTGCGAGAAAACTCACCTGAATATAGATTATGCAAGAAGTAGCAGGAGAAGCTCCTCCTTCCTGACCAGTTGCAATTTCTTTTGATCATTTTAGGCTATTCTTGCATTTTAAAAGTGTTGTTACGATTCTCGGTAACTGTAAAAAGTAACGTACTACATTCCATCTCTTCTATATAGCCTTGAAGAATTTGGTTGTTTTGCGTTCTTGTAAGGAAATTATTGTTAGTCTGCTACCATTGTATTGCTAGTGCATTATGGATATATATTTTGCTTGTGTTATATTGCAAGGTAGGGATTTTTGGTTACTGCTTCTTGCGACTGCTGCATGTGTCCTTGTGTTAGAAGTCAATGGACATGATTTGCCATTGATCTTTCAATGTCCATATATCCTTGTATCAGTGATGAATTTTTGCTCAAATTTCTACTGACTACTGTGCAGCCTGCTTGTCAAATTGTTAGATGTATGGAACTGTGAAAATGGTTTTTTTTCAACAACAATTTTGTTCAAATTTTGAATTCCAAATTTATGTTTTGTATGGATTTGATGGTGGTTGGTTGTTTTTGTTCTTAACAGAGCTTTTCTTTTTACCTTCGTAGATGCTTTCACCTTTTTGCTCTCTTGGTGACTGAAACTCAGAATTTTGAAGGTTGAAAGTGAGGAATGTTTATCATTCGAGCAAGTTCCTTTTTCCAATGGAAGAGGAGAATCTTTCTTTATTTCTTTTGGATGAAAAACGTGAGTTCTTGAGTTTTGTTGTTAGAAAATTGTTCATACCTCAGACCAATATTATACGTGTGGATCCTTGATAACAGAGGAAGTTGGAACAAAAAAAGGCATAGGTTTGGTTGGTGGTCATCACAAATGGATTATATTATTTGCAGGTTTCTTGTTGAATAATGTTCAACATAATAACAACAAATTTAAGTAGAAAATCTGACTATCTTGATTGAAATTTTTCAAAGAATCACTCTTTCTCCGTGTAGTATTTTGGCGTTAATTTGATTAATTGTATAGATTTAAATATAGATTAGAGTAAATTAATTTAATATTTAAAAAATTAAAATGTTAAAAATAGAATGTATGTTATAATATAAAATAAATATTATATTATTCAATTTGATTATCGATAATTGAATATTGGGAGGGAGAAAGCGGTTTATAATGCCGTGATATGACCCTTATCCAGTCGTAAACTATCCCCCAACTGCAGCTGCCTTTGAATAGCCCCATTTACACAGCTCTTCCACTTCATCAATGGCGTTACTTCGCTTACTATGTTCTCCATCCCTATTTCCTTCTTCATCATCCACTTTGTTTCCCCTTCACCACCATTCGACAACTCCCGTTTTACTATCCCCTTCCTCCATTTCTTGGCGAACTCCTTGTTTCTCCCCATTAATCCCCATCAAACCCCAAAGACCTTACCTTTACATATCCAATTGCTCTTCGTCCGCACAAGACCTAGAAGAACAGTTAGAAGATGGAAGTTTGAAAAGAAGAGTGCTTGCACAGAATGCTCCTTGGACCTATTCAGCAAACGACCTTCGACCTCTATTTGAGAAATATGGGACTGTGGAGGATATTGAGGTTTGAACCTTTTTAAAATATCTGCTTTTTTGTATGGTGAATTATATAGGGTATGAGTATAAAGTTTTTACTAAAACAATATAGTTCCACAAGTGCGGTCTCGGGTTTGGCGCGGATAGAATGTACACATACATTAACCATGTCTTTATGGGGAGAGATGTTAGCTATGATTTTTTAGTAGTATTGGAAATTGAAAAGTGGTTGAAGTTAGAGTTATGGATTAAGATTTTCGGGAAGAAAACTGACTTACTTCCATAGGTGAAAAAGTCTACTTTTGGATGGAGAATTTTTGCTTGTACTCAAATATTGGTAAGTAGGTGACATGATAATGATACTATATGCAGTATAAGGGATGATGATGATTTTAAGTATTAAAGTTTGGAAGCATTGTCTTCATGTTGGTTGAATTTGGTGTTATGAATTAAGAATTGTGATTTTTGGAGAGGAAAACGACTTCTAACCATAAGTGAATGAAGTCATTTTTCATTTTGATGAAGAATTGTTTTCATGGAAATTATCCTATAGCCACATACAGAAAAATGGTTTCAGGTGAAAAATATTTTTCTCTGTACCAAACTTTTAAGATTGATTATACTTTTTTAAGTTTTTCTGAGATGGCTTTGTTGTCTGTTGTTTGTTCTCAAGGTTGCAATGTATAACAAGACAAGAAGCAGGGGTTTAGTCTTTGTCACAATGGGCTCACATGAGGAAGCTAAGGCCGTTCTTGAAAATCTTGAAGCGTATGTAAGGATTTCGAATGCTTACTCTTCCTAAAAAATTCTGTCACTATTTGACTGTTTTGAAATGAGTTTCGGTTACATTATTGGTTGTTGACACTTGACAGGAACTTGAGGGTAGACCTTTGAGACTTGCATGGGCTAAGCCAAAGACTGAGAAACCTTCTTCTCCGCCGCCATCCAAGCCGCTGCCTATACACAATCTCTTTGTGGCTAATTTGCATTTCGAAGCAAGGTCTAACGACCTGCTGGAATTCTTTAAGGCTAATGGTGCAAATGTTGTTTCTGCTGAAGTCATATTCAATGATAATCCCAGACGATCAGCAGGATATGGATTTGTTTCACTTAATACCAAGGAGGAAGCTGATGCAGCATTATCCTCCTTTGACGGAAAGGTAATTTTGGGTTTGGCTGCTTGTTGTGATGAATATAAGTTCCATTTGTTGAATGTTCATTGCAGTTTCTGTTGTTTATTTACTCTTTTGGACTTGAACCATTGGATCTGGTTAATGTCGAAAACCTGATTTGAGTATATCTTCATCCATAGGAATTTATGGGAAGAGCTATAAGGGTGGCACAGAGTAAAAGGTTTCTCAGAGAAGAGACAAAAAAAGTTATCAAGTCCCAAGAACTACCATCTGAATTGATCTCTGTGGCAGAATGAGCTAATGCTGCTGAATTTTGAAAGTTATTCCTCTGAGGAAGTGAGTTTCCATGACTTTTTGTTTGTATAGTAGAATCCAGGCAGATATCTTCAAAAAATTTGTGTCAGAAATTTTTATATAGCTTCATGTACGTCCCCCGTTCCTTTGGTTTCATCTATTATTCGGGATTACTTTCTGTTTTCTATCTCTTCGTTTTGTTTAGAGGTGACGAAAAATGTTTAATCAAGTATAAGTTTCTTGAGAAATGTCCACTACGGGAATTGAATACAGTCCGAAGGTGACATCATCTCCAAATTCTCATTGCAAGAGAATCACTACCCCTAGGCATATTCTCTATGATAATTGAATGCAGTCCCTATGTGACATGCCATGTATCCTTCAAGGTCTCATTGCAAGAGAATCAGTAATTCTTTGTCTACCCAGATATATGAAAATGAGTGCTGGTGACATATTGGTGCTTTGGGTAGTTGCTATGAAACAATATTTGCTCTGGCAAATTATGAATCATCGGCTTTCCCAGCATTTGATATGTTTAAAAAAAATAATGACTTATAGCCCTTTTTGTTTAGAAGTTTGATTAAATCAATTCATTGTAGGATATTTTAGCAGATATATGATACTACTCAGTGGTGAGCACAATGGAGTAGGATCATAGCTATCTGTTTCTTCCCGTGTATTAATGTCTTCATTTTGTCTGCTTTTTCAACATATACACTCATCTCCTTAATGTTATGAACAACCATTGAGTTTTAAGTTGTAGTTTTTCAAGATTAATTGTCAAACGTAGTTCTTCCATGTATCCTACTTAGGTGAACCCGTTTGGTTTATCTATTCTGTAAGTAACATCCCAATACCGAAGGGTACTAATTACTTTGTCTCACGCTGTTGGCCGCATTTGCTCCTATTTCCTTGTACTAATATAACAATTCATTAGTGTGTAAGGTGTGTTGTGCTCTCTATTACACTTCACTTTCTACTTATTTGCACTATCACTTTCTTTTACATCTACTTTTTATCTTGACAATTTTTTGTCTGATTTTAAGTTCTTAGCACCTATGTCTTGAATCAACAACTAAGAGATCACTTAAAAAGTATGCACATCCTTTTTAGAGAGCACAAGTCCTTTTCTGAGGTTAATTGTTAAGTTGCCAAGATGTTACTAAAAAGATACAAAAAACCTGCAGGGGATGGGCATGCAGTCGTTACATCCTTCTTCCAAGTAAGTTCTAGAAAACCCATAATTGGCTTATACCATCCACCATTCTACTTCTACTCCAGAAATATAAATTTTAGAGGCAGTTATCCTTGATTCTGGAGATATCATTGTTCTGACTTTCTAAACATGTCTTGTTCCTCTGTAGCCAAATAATCCAGAATATACATAGAGGGATGGTTATTCTCAAAAACAAAAAAGAGATACATAGAGGGATGGTCCTCCAGATCTGCTTCAATGCTCTAGGAATTCTCTGATGTTGCCAGCATTCAATCAAATCTCTTACCTTGAGTGGCATTACCCAATAGATTCCACACATACTTAGGAACAAATCCTAGCATTGTCTAGTTAGTTTGCAGAGTATGAGGAGGTGATCTACTGTTTCTTGGTCATTCTGCCATTAATATCATCTATTACACAATAGGAATCCTCTTTTCTGCAATTTGTTTTGTGTTAAGCAGGCCCCGAAGAGGCAACCTACCCAAACCATTCTGCCTTGACAGGTGCCCTAGTCTTCCTAATCGGTTTCCAAGGCCAGTTATCATCCCATCGATCAGCTTGCTTCATTAGCAAAGTGCAAACTATAGCAGTTGCTGAAAGAGAAACTATTGTCTTTACTTGCTGCCTAACTGTGAGTATCCTGTTTGTTTTGAATAATCTGGAAGGGCTCCAGCATCTAAAGTAGGTTACAAAAGCCTTCTACTTCCCAGTCATTCAAGTTTCTCCTAAAGCTTAAGTGCCACACTGTGATTGGAAAAAAATTTGACACCACACCATATTTGTTGGTATTGTGTCGCCATGAGTTCACCATGATTTGTAAAACTCGTAAGGACAACAGTAAAACCTTCTCCACCTCCAGCCATGCTCACACTTGTTTCTGCTTTTATTGGGAAAAACAGTTTCTTTGTTATCCCCTCATTATCCATATCTTGTTTTTAATAATGCGAGCTAGTAAAGTGTGATCCTAATGAAAGACAAGTAGGGAGTCAGATTGATTTAAGTTGGGTTAGATTCTGGACTACCAATTAGTAAGTGAAGTGTCTTCTTTACCCGAGTTAAAAGTCACCACTCTTATAACAGGAAATACCACTTGAACTAGGCATTGTTTTACAGTGAAAATGCCATTTGGGAAAACAAATGGACGTTTCCTTTTATGATAACTTATAGAACTATGTATAATCCAATGAATAATATATGTTCCGACAATCCAAATTCAAAAAGTAGGGCTCAGCAATGCGATGTACCTTGTCATGGCATCAAGCATTTTCTGTTTAGCCCCCCCTAAAATGAAACTTAAATTTTGAAGTAGCTCTTAGTATTATATCGTCGTGGTTCATGTCAATAGCTTTGTGGGGTTTGGAAATTTTCATGAAGTATAGCTCCTGAACTATAAGATAGTCTGGGATTACTTTCCAAAAACTATAAGTCCTGCTCCAAATTCAGTCTTCCTGTTTGATTTCCGTGGATTTTAAAATGAGAGGTATCTAGAAAGGTTATGGAAGCCTGCTGATGCTAGCTTTTACCATCCCTTGTAGCTACCCGTTCCTTTCTTCTTTTTTTAAGTACCTTTTTGTCTTCAATTTCACCGTTCCCTACTTGAAATGCAGTCATTGAGTTGTTTATTTTTCTCTTTCGTTTTTCCCTTCTTCTCTGCAGTATCACTCTCTTCCAACCAAGGGCTGTCAATAGAGAAATGAAAACTTCATAGTTTTGGTAGTGGAAGCTGTTGCTAGCAATAGGAGAAGGGCTGTTTTGTAGATTTGTCTTGACCATGTATCAAATTGCATGATTATTCCTTTTAGGAGTATGTTGCTAAGAAGAAGAAAGTTGTTTTAAAGGCAAGTGAACATCTTAAGTGTATGAACGGTACATTTCTATAGAAATCACCTACAACCAACCTGTTTGGTGCACATTACTTTTCTCATTTGGCCTTTTCTACCCATCTTGAATCAGCTTTGGTTTCTGCCATTACACGTGCTTGTATTCTTAAAAAGAGAATTTTTCGAGTGCGAGGCACCTTTAAAGTTTTGACATAGATGAATTTACAGGGTAACATATAGGTTCACGGGAATTCAGTACTTTCTGCTCAGACATTGTATACATTCCAAGAAATCTACTAAATATCTATGCGTACTTCTATGTGATTGGGAACTCATTTTTGTACATTGACTTGAGATTGTTATACGAACCCATAAACTTCAAATCATGAGTCCGAGTCCGACTGAGTTTGAAGTAACTTCTTGTCAAAAGTTAAAGAGTATAAATTCTGTTAAAGAAGGTACTCATCAAAAAGGAAACCCACTAGAAGAATAAGAGTGATGTTGAAGTGCTACCAAAATTTGAGGTGAGATGTAACGTTTGACGAGATGCCATTTCTATAGTTTGCCAAACCTCCGAATCCCATGTCAGAGACCTCTTCTTTTTCGTTAATATTTTCTATCTTTACTAAAACGAGAAAATTTGGATTTTTCATATCTGTTACCCGTATTGGAGTTCCAGTTTTATTCATACTCAGTGCTTGAATTCGAAACCTCCTTGTTACATCTTATCTTATATTACTTCACTGGCAAATGATCAAATTGGAATTAGGACAGCTAAAAAGGAGGAGGGGGAAGCAGTTGGCCCAACCCTCTGGACCCTAACAAACCCAACAAAATGAGTTTCTAATTCTCTCAAAGACCCAACGTCCATGCCCCATGGGTTTTTGTTTTAAAATTTTGAAATAATATTTAAAAGTCATTTTTTAAATATGAATAGATGTTTGCTTTAACAAATTTGAACCACTAAACTTCAAACTCCAAGCTTGAAATATGAAATTATAAATTTAAGAGACAAGTTTTAAGAGTTTTGTCAAGTTCTCATTCACAAAATACGTTATTTCAACTAAACTTCAAATAGTCCATTTATAGAAATGCAATGTTGAATTTGAAGACTCGATCGATCCCAAATAAGTTGGTAACATCAACGTGTGATTCAAGTGAAATATAATTTGAAAGGAGAAATAAAGCAAAGACCTCACCTTAAGAAATGATCATTAAAGAAGAATTAATTGACTTTGACAATAATTCCAAAGATAACAATGTGGGATTTGACATCTAAATTGTTGTTAGATTGTCTCACTCAGTCCTTTTATAAGCGCCCATTATCGTAATTTTTGCACGGCTCCCAGTCCTATATCACCTTGTATAAGTGCCTTCGTCATATTCATAAATATAATTTGAATCATAATAATTTAAATCGTTGCGAATTGCAATTTTAAGATTAGTGAACTTTCTTTTCCTTATTTTGTTATGATTTCAAGTTAGTGACTTAAAATTGCATCTTCAAACGCAGAAAATAGCCAATATTTATAATCAGAAAATATGAATGGAAGAAGCAAAAAATAAAATAAAATAATAGACACACGAATCAAGTTAAGATAAAATGGTAAGTATTTTTTCATTTTTAATTAGGGGTCCGAATTTCAATTCTTTTAATACGAAAGTACTTTTATAACAAACTTTTCCGTTGCGAATTTGATTCGATCACGCTCTAATACGAATTTGGTATCAGGCATCGATAACAATTTTTTTTTTAAAAAAATGATAACACGTTTATTGAGGTCGGCATGTGGCGGGACCCTTAGTGACCTTTACACCATTTTGATGAATTGTTAGGTGAATACATTTTGTAAGTTTATACGAGAAAGACTATCCCCATCTCTAGACCCTAAACAGAGTTTCAATTTTTTTATTTATTTTTTATATTTGAAAGAAGTCTATTTATAATCATTTTTAAAAATGAATATTTGTGTGGGGTTCTTTTTTTCTTTTATTTTTTTCCCGGGAGGTGGGGCTGGGGGACGACCTTCACATGTCTTTGGTTTTTTCTATAAAATTCTTTCGAATAGTGTCACTTTATTCTAGCTAATTATGAGACCAATCTAATATATATATATATTATCTTGAATCTTTTTATCTATATTATCATTACTCCTAATATAAAGAGAGTTCATATATACTTTATATATGCAATTCCCCCAAGTTGTTCGAAAAGTGATCTTCCTACTCCCAAAAAGTATCTCTCAAATAATGATTACTTTATATATATATATAAAAGTTTGATCGAATATGCTATAGTAATTAGCAATTTTGGTTTCATTTTAATTTATGACTTTGAATTGTATAGAAGTTTGATCAAATATTCTATATAGTAATTGAAAATTTTGATGGCTCACATATTTATTCTTTTCATATGATTGTGGGGGTAGGGGTGTGGAGGTGTATGAAAGTTTGATCAAACATACTACAGTAATTAACAAATTTTGATGATTTATACGTTTATTCTTTTTATATATATGATTGTGAATTATTTTATTTTTTTATTCATGGTGTTGAGACTTTAGGTAGAGGAGGGACTATGAAAATTTGATCGAATATACTATCGTAATTAACAAATTTTGATGACTCATACGCTTATTATGATCGTGATTCTTTTTATTTTATTTATTCATAGTGTTAAAACTTTAGGCTGAAGAGGGTTCTAAAAGTTTAATCGAACATGCTAAAATAATTAGCAAATTTTGGTGACTCATATCTTTTCTTTATTCTTTCATATGATCTTAACTCCTTTTTTATTCATTTTTAATAATTCATGGCGTTGGGACTTTAGGGGTGTTAAATGAGTACTAATTAGACATTAGTGAAAATGGTCAAACATATATTTGATTATACATGACTTGTTCTCTACGCATTTCACATCATGTAATATAATGTTTCAACCTCATGTTTTTCATCAGGCAAAACAAGAATATCTTAACTAACATAATTCATTTCACCAACCTAATTCTTCAAGGCTAGAAAACAAAGAGATAAAAGTAACCACTTTTTCAAGGCATTAGGTATAATGTATGTCAAACTGAAATTATGTGACATCTCCTTTACAACTATATATGCACCCCATTACAAATATATTAAGTGACCTACTCCATATGCATTCTCCTATATAAGAAAATCAAATTAAAGCCATTCTTCACTCAAAATTAAGAATACCAAACTCTCTTATCTTTTAAATTCATCAAAAAAATGGGAAAACTTTTGGCTGTGACTTTTTTGTTCATGTGTTGTGTTGTTCCAAGTTTGGCCAAAGTTTATACTGTTGGAGACTCATCTGGATGGGGACTTGGTGTGGATTATACCACTTGGGCTAGTGGAATCACTCTTAATGTTGGTGATTCACTTGGTAAGTTTTCTCCCCCATATGTACACATTTTTTTACTTAAACAAATCTAGAAATTATCATTACATATGAAAATATCAGGTAATCATAACAAACTCCCTTTATTTTAATTTATATGACATCATATATATATATATATATATATATATATATATATATATATAAT